TTATATAGGGACACGTGATGTACTACCTCGTGTGACAGTCACTGAAAAATCTCTCCAAATTAAGGGCCTCGTAGTAGTCTCGATTTCAGCGGTTTATTTTTCAAGTGTTTGTTTCATTAAGAAAACATAAGCAAACAACTTTTTTTTTTTTTGGTGTTATTGATTAAGAAAAAAAAAATATTATGCTTTGTGTTTAATTTTCTAAATTTAAAAGTTCATAAAAAAATGATGAAATTTAACATTGGTAGTTTAGAGACTTGAACCGAAAACAAAAACAAAAAACATACCTAAATTGTAAGGGCATTACAAGTTAGTTATTTGAAAGCATAAACCAACAAACAGACCTAAATTATAAATTCATTACAATATAGTATTTAAATGCTCCAAACACAAGAGTTAGGTGAGTAGTGAACAAGTGCAGAATTTGAATTTTTTTTAGGTTGAAATGTTCATTAAAAAATTTAAGATAACAAAGTCTAAAAGTCAACTTAGAAAAAGTTAAAACAAAAATAAATTTATCACGTAATCAAATTACTACATAAATAAATATATAATCCTATATAGAGCCGAAAGGTATATAACCCCTTGTTGAGAGAGATTTTTTTTTAGAGTCTCAAAATTTCTCAGAGCTCTAAAATGGGCTATATATATTCACTACTTTAGCAGTCTCATATAGAACCCTTCATGCAAGTGGTCTTTCACCACAATAATGAAAAGAAGTTGAGCCTGTGCATGATGGCTTGAGTTCGACTAATCTAAATATAGAACGCTTTCATTGGAGATGCTTAGAAGAATCATGTGCTTCTTGTAAACCCTAGAGAGCAGGCACATGGTTTAGCCATAGGATCTAGACTCCAATGTTTCGTGAAAGAGAAGTTACTTCAAATATTTAGCAATTGGTTGCATGTGGTGGCAAATATCGACAAGCCATGTTGGTCAGAGGTTTTTATTTTATTTTATTTTATTTTATTGGAAATACAATAATATATTTTACATTAAGAGGATGAGGAGTTTAGTTAAATCACACAATAGGTAATCTAATTTGATATCAAATTCGTCATTTACGAGATTCGAATCTAAGACCTCTCACTTATAAGTGAAGAAAAATACCACTAGACCATAGTACCGAGTGACATGTTGGTCAGAGAATTGTTCCCCCTGTATTGAAATTCAAACGTTTTTTTTTAATGATAGATTAGATTAGGTTACAATATCATTTGCAAAAAGAATTAAATTTTTTTTTTAACAAACGATATTATTTACACTAAAGGAAAGGGATGAGCTTAACCTCACAATAAATAGTAATAATGTGGTTCAAATTCTCTTCACTAGAATCAATGCATAGGTTAAATTTGTGTAAGCAAGAACTTTGGTGTTATATGCATCGGTGATTCCTATGCATATAATTTCGTAATTAACGAAGAAACAATTATTTCAGCATACCGATAATGGCCGGGAGGGTCGGAGTGTTGAGGGAACCAATCTCTTTTCTTTGTCGTGAGTTTTGAAAAGCAGGAGGTCTAAAAGTAAGTAAGCAGATGACGACGGAGGCAGTGAACCTGCCGATCATTGACTTGTCCTCATCAGATTCTATCTCCTCCGCCGCTTCAATCCGTCAGGCATGCATAGAGTGTGGTTTCTTCTACCTGGTGAATCATGGCGTCGAGGAAGAGCTGTTTGCAGAGGTGTTCGATCAGAGCAGCAACTTCTTTTCGCTTCCTTTGGAAGATAAGTTGAAACTGGATCGCAAGCATCACAGTGGTCACAGTGGATACACCCCACTCTTTTCCGAAAACCTCGACTTCGCTTCCAGCTCCAAAGGTGACTCGAAAGAGAGTTATTACGTCGGCAATTTATATGACCCAACTCAGAGTCATTTGAATAAATGGCCTTCAGAAGACATCCTTCCATCTTTGAGACCTACAATGGAATCGTACTATAGAAAAGTCCTGTCTGCTGGAAAAAGGTTAAGCTCTCTGATTGCCCTGGCTTTAAACCTAGATGAGGACTTTTTCGACAAAGTGGGGGCACTGAATAAACCAAGGGGTTTTCTTCGACTTTTACACTATCCAGGTGAGCTGGGATCAACCGATGAAGAAATATATGGTGCTTCTGCTCATTCAGACTATGGCATGGTCACACTCCTTGCATCCAATGGAGTTCCTGGACTTCAGGTTTGTAGGGACAAATCTAAGCAACCTCGAGTCTGGGAAGATGTTCTTCACATAGATGGGGCATTCATTGTCAACATTGGGGACATGCTGGAGAGGTGGACTAATTGTTTGTTCAGGTCAACACTGCATAGAGTGATGCCAGCAGGACGAGAACGCTACTCCGTCGCATTCTTCATGGATCCCAATGAAGATTGTGTCGTGGAATGTCTGGCAAGTTGTTGCAGTGAAGAATCACCGCCAAGATTTCCTCCCGTCCGCAGTGGGGACTACCTGGAAGAGCGTTTTCGGCTTACAAATGCAATTTAAAAGGTCTGCCTTTTGCAGTTGCAGTACGATGATTTTACTGTGTGATAAACGGCTTTTATAATCAAATACATCTATTACAACCCTGGCTTCATAATTCCACTGGAAATAAACTGCTATTGTTTGTATTGAGCTGGTGACTAAGGTCCCGTTTCAAGATTGTTTCTCTAAAAAACATTTCAGCTCATAAGCGTTTGTTGCAGAAGTGATTTTATTATAAACATGTTGAAGTTTTCTAAACTCTTTTTTCGTGGATTGAGAAGAATATATTGAATGAAGTTGGAGACTGAAAAGAAAAAAAAAATATTATGTTTAGCATAACCCGTCACGGGGATTTCTTTTTAGTGTGAATTGCTAATTTAGTCTTTCAATTATCACTTCAGTGAAAATTAGGTCCCTAAATTATTAATTTTTTTCAAAAAAACCAGCCCTTGAATTATAAAAATTTGTCAATTAAATCCCTAATATTATATTCGAAGCTACTATATTCAATTTTCCATCAATTTAATCAAGTTATTTGCATGTGATACACATTGGAGGGTAGATTGGTAGTTTTTCATAAAAAAATAGTGTATGAAGTTAACTTTGGAGGGTAAATTGGTAGTTTTTCATAAGAAATAGTGTAAGTTAACTTTGAATGGTAAATTAGATGTTCCATTCGCAACTTATATGAAATGTTAAGGGCTTATAGGCAAGAAATTGACAATATTACACTCTTAAGTATGTCAAGTGACCTAAGTTAACAAAAAAAATGGATAAAATAGCTTTGAATAAAATAGTAGAGATGAAATTAGCAATTTTTAATGAATTTTAGGGACTTATTTTACCAAAAAAAATAATTTAGGGACCTAATTTTCACTGAAGTGATAATTTAGGGACCAAATTAGTACTTCACCAAAAAGAATGTTAGCTCATATACCCTGCCTTCAAGATTCCATTTTTGCATCCTCCAAGCTCTTGCTAAATCCAATCTACAATAATTGGTAATTCAGTTTATTTTAATTTTTAATTAAGGAATTGTTAGTAGCACTTTAAAATTTTATTATGCAATTCAAACTTTCTATATATAAAAAAAGAAAATATTGTTATGAAGAGTAAAAATAAAATTTTTAGAGTGCCATAACAATTGCTTTCAATTATTCTTAAAACATGTGGTATGTATATAAGTGGACACATAGAAGATGCCTATTCAAGTACGTGGAAATAGAAAGAGACCCACTGGAAGACAGACACTTTTCCAAGTGGGAAATAGCTAACAAGAAAGGGCAATTTGGGATTGCTGCATTAATTTTTTTTTTAAAGCTACTTCTGCTGTGTTTGAAGAATAATGAGTTGTAAAATAAAGTATTTAAACGTTTGATAAATTTTATTTTTAAAAGTTTTGTGAGTATAAAAAGCAGTGTAAAAGGATTTCGTAAATTTTAATGTAGAAGTGTTATATTTGTAGATAATAAAAAAAATGGCCATGGTAGCGAAGGTGGTGGCAATGACAGTGGTGGCGAGGGCGGTGGTGATGGTTGTAGTGATGATGGTAGCGACAAAGGTGGAGTAGGGTATGGTGCTCTTACCAGTTGTTATGATTAGGGTGTAGAGATATAACAATGGTGGTCAAGGTGGCAACAATGGTGGTAGTGACGGTTGCGGTGGCAATTGTGGTATGGTGGTGATGGTGGGCGTGGCAGCAACGATGGCGATTGTGGTAATAATAACACTAGTTGTGACAATGATAGTGGTGGCGGTGGTGCCAGCAATGGTGGAGTTATGGTTGTAGTGGTGGTAATGACAGTGATGGTTTAATATTAGTGTTTGCAATAGTAGGTGGTGGCGGTTATTTTGTTTTCAATCGAAAAAATATGTGTAAAAGTTTAAATATTGTCATTTTTAAAAACTAATGAAGGCTTACAAAATTGAAAATATTCATTAAAAACTCAGCTTTATTCAAGCAACTTACATGATGTTTTTGCTTTTAAAAGCTGTTGTATGAATGTCATTGCTTTTAAAAATTTTGCCAAACACTTATATTTTATTGTAAACTTTAAAGTGAAACCATTTTGGTAAAAAAAAAAAAAAAAAAAAAAAACAATGGGGCGAAGAAGGAAAAAAAAACACTTCTAAATAAAGCTAAAGCCGCCTCTTAGCTGTTGTTTTGCCACTTGAAAACACATTATATAGTTTAAAATATGGATTAAATGAGCTCTCATTCAATATTACGATTTGGTGGTATTATTTTTTACTTGAAAGTGAGATGTTTTAGGTTTGAATCTCGTGGATGACGAATTGGATACCAAATTAGGTTACCCATTATGTGGCTTAGCCGAACTCATTATTTTCTTAGTGTAAAAATATTCATGTATTAAAAAATAAAATGATTAAATGACCTAATGAACAATATTTAACAGAAACAGTCCTTCCACGGGTCGTCAAAATTGTTCATTACGTATGGTATGAAATGAGTGAACAATAATTAACAGATAGTTAGAAACAGTCTTTCCACGAGTCTCCAAAAGTCTTGGTATTTATTTTTGTATTTTTTTGGTGAAAGCTTGTTGCTTGAAATATAGATACGAGAGAGTGAGAAAAGTCGAACTTGGACGAAATTTTCCTCTTTCTTCACCACCTACCAGATCTGTATGCTGATACATTACATGGGTTTGTAATGCGTGCGTGAGCTGGAAGAGAAGAATGGCGTCCGATACGGCGTCGTCGGTGGACGAACAGGCGCAGCAGCTGGATGTTCCGGGTGGTTTGGTCGGAGGAGGAGGAGGAGGAGGGTCCACTGATAAGAGAGGAAGGCATCGGATTCTCGCCGAACTCAGCCTCCTCGAACAAGAACTTAAGTTCTTGCAGGTTTCTTCCTTTTCTATGCCACTTGCTTTCTGTCTCTAAATGCTGTTTGTTTCCCGGGAAAATTCTTACTTGTAAAACAGTGTAAAACATTTCCCACTTCCTATTTTTCCCCTTTTGAGGTTGCAATTCAAGTTTTGTGTAAAAAAGCTTGCAGCTTTGTGTGTTAAAGGTAAAGAAAGTAACTTTCTTTACAGAAAAGGGAAGGTGAAAGAAAAGGGGATGAGGGTTATTTTTGCCAAGGCATGTTATCTAGGGATTGGTTATTTGAGGAAGAAAATATTTCTGGGTTTTGGAAAATGGGTTGACTGCATGTTATGATTCCGGCTTTGGCGTTGAAGAATGTAAGAACGAGTCGCTGGTCCTTCTCTTTGAAATCTTGACGTTTAATTTGAGCGGTCAAAACATTGAGAAGTTCCAATTTTGTGGGAAATGTGGGATTTAGGGATGCAATTTTCTCTGACTGTTTTTCCGTACTTATTTAGGGAAATTGTTGGAGAGGTGATGATGTTGTATAATTGGTGAGGTTACCAAATAGGCTGCAGACTTGGTCAACAGCACATTTGACTGGAAAACTAAAGTTGCTTTCTTTCATATGGGTGGATTAAGAGCTGTTTTAGGGGAAAATCACACTGCAAGAACTCACTAGATATAACTCGTTGCTGATCAACGGGGTGAATGGTAACGTAGTCGAAAAGTTCATTGTTATCTGAACAATCATTTAGTTCTTGACGTGGGATGTGTTGAACCACCACATTTTGGCTCTGTGAAAATCCGTTTGACGGTTAGATTGCAAAAAACACACTGCAAGCAGTAGTTGTTTTATGTATTGATTATATACATTCCTTTGCGTTCGTTTTGTGGTATCATGTCACCTTATTAGCCCTCAAATGCTTAATTTAATCAAGGTATGAAAGGAACATTATCATAGCTCAAGTTTAGAAAAAGCTAACCACATTTCTCGTTTTTAGGCTTCCAAGTTAAACTGATGTCCAGTTTTATTTTCATCTTCCAAAGCATTGATGCTGTAGGGACCTTCTGGTCTTCGAAGAACTTGGAACAAAGTTGTTTGGATTGTATACGTGTATGAATTGTCTGGTTTGCTTGTTTTATTTCTCTTGTGGAATTTCTTATGTTCCATATCCTTGCATTGTCCTAGGTTTTGTTCTAACAATTTGAGATTTTCCTTCATATTTCTATATACGTAGCTTATCCGAATTAGTGCTAGACTTGGCAATGATATATAAGTAGAAAACAGTCTTTCTGGTCCACAGCAACACCCCTTTAGACAGAATAAGCGCTCTCTGTGATTAATTACTTAAATGAATCATGCAGTTCATGGCTCTAATTTAACAGATAAGCGTTTTACATTTGTTATGTGCATGAGGTGGATGAGTTTTTTCTTATTCGTGTTTTAACATTGTCTATATACTCTTTTTATTCTTCCTTCTTTTAGTTAGTGCAACATTTGTAAACTTGTGTCGGTTGATATTGTATTATCTGCATTGTTGTCATATTTAAAGTACTGCAGAAGGTCATAGTTGAGTGAGTATTTGTAAACAGTCGATCACATTTTGATGTTACTTTATTTCTTTGATATCCAGGAGGAGTTGGGAGAGCTCGAAAGAACCGAAAATGTTTCAACCATTTGTTCAGAGTAAGTTTGAGCAACCATATATAAAGTACCCTGTCCCAAGTATTAAGTTCCTAGCATGAAAAATCTGATAAACTCAAAAGAAAATGATGAGCAATGATCTGTTTTTGTTGATATCACTTAGATTGCTTCCCTACGTCGAAGGCAGGTTGGATCCTCTACTCCCATTGTAAGTTCCATAACCAATCTCCTCACTCTGCAATAATACAAGTTACTTGCTGCAATTGTCTAATGCTCCATCCTTGATTTATTCTGGTTGCAGAACAAATGGACCTGTAAATCTGGTATGGGATCGATGGTTCGAAGGACCGCAGGATTCACAAAGTTGCAGCTGCTGGATACTCTGATGATTTGGATCTCATGCCATCTAACATTTGTTGCCATGGTTTGCGGGACAGGCTCTAGCTAGCAGCATAGCACCTTCGTTGACCAAATTGAATGTAGAATTGACCATTGACTTAAATGAAGTTTGGCATTATAGTAAATTTGAATATCGTTTTGTCAAAAGAAAAACAGATTTAAAAACGATGAGGATTTGGGCAGATACACTGCCGTAATGTGCAGTGTATCTGACCTCCGACTCCGACACTTAAATTTGAGTCTCATTGTTCTTTACATTAGAGTAGATAGAATGCCGTTTTGTCAAAAACAAAACTGATGAGGATTTGGCTTTTGTCTAAATTTTAATCACAACCGTTCATGCTCATCATATGGTCAAAAGTCATTTTTCATTCTTGAGCCTTTCTCGGCCCAAAGTTTTCACATCATTTCGATCCATGTAAGCCCACGTTAAGCATTTTAGTGTGGGCTTGAAACATCTTCTCCGGATTGTAGGTGTGGGCTTGATGTTTCTCTAACACAATGTTAGGCGACCCAAGAAGAAATTAGGCAAGCCCAAAAATTCAGGCTTGTATTTGTTCTAATAGTGTGGGCCGTGAGTGAATGCGCTTACCAAATGAGCTACAAGTCTCGGCTATGTTTAGATATATTCAGAGCAAATGGAGCTTTCATCAAAATATCATAAGTACTATGCCAAGGTTGTTATAGAATAGAGATGGAAAACAAATGATGCTTTAAATCATGCTTTAGAAGTGTTTTTAAAATGACTGAAAGTGTTTTTGGTGACAATGCTTTTAAAATCAATTATTGGTAAAACTTGAAATGAATCATGGAAAAACACTTTAACTATTTCTTGCATCTTGTGCTTCGAAGTGCTTTTTGGAACCTAAAATTAATTTCACTAAAAGCGTTTTCATTCATTTTAAAAGTACTTTTAAACAAACCTATATAATTTAAGTGATTAACTATAAATTGAATCAAAGCTAAAGAAAACAAAGTAAAAGTGTAATTTTGTAGACGCCTGCCCCTTTTTAAGTTAAAGGGTTTAGATATATAAGTCTAGTTTGAAAAAAGAATTAACGTAATGTCAAGAGAAGAACCATACACTAATGTGGTTGAGTAATGTGTAAATATGTTGTATTAACATCACTTAACTATTGGATAACAAAAACTACGAGCTGCCCCAGTGATTGTGGCAAGTTTCAGATCTGTATTCCTCACGGTTCGTTTTTGGTTTGATTTATAATGCTGATGAATTACACGATGGTGATCATGAAAATGCTGAAATGTTTTTGTGAATCTTACCAGCTCTTAAAAAGGTAGATTACCGTGACTTGACCACCAAGTGGTCCCCTTTTAATGAAATAAAACTATTGGATATACAAAATTATTAATCCGTCATTTGTTGTGTTAACTAACATGGATGTTACAATAAACATAGGTTGTCTTGGTCAAACACAAAGTCTAGACTCTAGAATCTAAGAGTCTAAGAATATAAAAACAGAGCCTAAATCCCATTCCTATACATTGCATCATCATTATATATTAGAAAAGATGCATTGATCAATGTTTAAATTAACTAATTAATAACAATTAACCCCTCATCGAAATCCTAAACACCAATTATTAAACTCGAGTTTAATATACTTGATTAATCATAATAAGGATGCTCTTAACCCCTTGTCACCATATCACTCCATGTTCTTTTGCTTCCTTCAATGTATCGAACTCTTCCTCCTTTCCTTTTTTTTTTTGAAAAGAGAGAGATAGAGAGAGATGAGTGAGGGCATGTGAGGGGAGGATAGGAGGGCATATGGTATGGTACGAATCCGGATCTTAGCGGGATTCTCTTTGTGAGGATCCCAAGAATTTGTAAATCGTGTTTATTTATCGTATAACGTGCGGTCAGAAATCATTTTATACATTTTTATTTAAAATTAAACATAAATAGTATCTAATAAAAATTGATCGTACGATGTACGATGAATAGAGACGATTCACGAATCCCCAAGATGCTCACCAAAAGTATCCATCTAAATGATACTTTAGGCAGATTGGCTACGCTTCCCAAGCAAAGTGGGAAGCAAAAACCAATGTGAAATTTGATACATGCACTGCAGCAACCTAATAAAAAGACCGTTAAATTCAGCTAATACCATCTCCATGGACTCTCTGTGTTACTGTGTACTTTCTGTCACCTTATGTTTTTTATAAAATATTTTATGATATGGACATAAGAATCATTAAACTGTGAGGTGGTGGTGAGTTTTATTTTGAGAGAGTCCCCCTTACCATTTCTCCCATCTCCAATGTAAAGACTTAAATTTCTATATTCTCGTATTTGGCTCTCAAAAAGATTTTGGATTTATTTATTTTAGTTTTAATTTCCAATGCCAACCTCAGATTTTAAGACTCAAAACTCATATTTGAGTTTTAACAATTTGGTTAATGTGCATTGGAGATGATTGGACTCAAAACTCAAAACTTATTTTTTTAGGTTGAATAACATGTTTCCTAGTTGGCATGAGCTCCACCTTGGACTAAATTCTCATATTAAAACCCAAATTTGGGTCTCACTTAGCCTATTTGAGTTTTAAGTTTCATGTGCATTGGAGACTGAAATATAAGATTTGAGTCATTGCATTGGAGATGCTCTAAGAAAACTTTGGATGAGAAATTATGGCAATTTTCTCACTTACCTTCTCATTTCAACCTTCTTATTTCTTCACATGCTTTGAGAAAATTTTAATTATGTAAAATCTTACTATTTTTCTTCATTAGTTAGTATAATTAAAATTAAGTTTGTAAACCCAAAAATAATTAAACATTTAGTTTCACGTGCTAGTGAAATACACGTGGCATGAGTTAAAGAGAGAAGGTTGAAATGATAAAGTTCTAGCACTCACACTTTGAATAAGACAGTTTGTTCACGTCATTCATACCATAGTCTTCACAAATAAGCGAGACCTCTTGTATATGGTATCATTCAGTTCCACATTGTCACATTCAAGTCGACACTTATAAAAGTTGTTGTATGAATGACATGATCAGTTTACCCTGCTAAAAATTTTCTCCTCACTTTCACTTTGGTCCTCCTATTTGGATTTTAGACCCCATTATCATATTAACTAGTGAAATAATAGCCGACCTAGTTAATCCTTTGTCTTGGGAGGATGATGCAAGTTGTTAATTGTGCTTTTAAATATATTGGGCAACCTAGCCGATCGCTAGGTGTATATCGTAGCATCCAAATATTCCACTAGCACAAGCTTCTCTAGTAAATTATTTCTCCCCTTGAAAATAATGGAGTAGGTTGTAACCATGCATGAACTAGCTTATGCATGTTTTTTTTCTTTCTTTAAATCAATTTAACCTTAAAAAAAGAAATATAAATTAATACATCAGGTTGTAAGAATTTTTGTGTGTACTCGAAACACTTGTTACATAGTATGTTATAATATGTGTGGGGCGACACAATTGACATGTTCTATTTCTATGATATTAATTAATAAAAAAACAATACATGTATTACAATTTTAATAAATAATAACAGTACATGATTGTGTTCCGCATGTATAAAAAAATCTCCCATTCCATACACATGTTGGAAAATATATGTGCTTTCACGTTTTAGAGTCATATTTCTTCTTCTTCTTCTTCTTCTTCTTTTTTATCATAAAGGCATATTTCTTCTTAAATGACATGAGATTAGAAGAGACTGACAAATAGGATTTTAATTAAAAGAGAAGAATTAAGGATTAGATATTTAATTAGCTGATAACTAAGTGCCAAATATGCCAACCCTATTATCACATGTCTTAACATGATGATATATTCTCTCCCTTTTCAAAATTTACATTTAAATATCCCACGTTTGAATTTGACCACAACAAGACTCATGTGCTATACCGCAAAATAGAAATCATACCATAAATATTAAGTACAAACACTAATTTTTTTGGTAGGCTTTTGCTATACAATTAAGCTTTGAATTTTCTTTCTTTTCAAAGAAACCGACAGGTATCGAAAATCTATTACCAAACACCCCCTCTCTGAATGTGTGGTTTTGGTCCTTGATTAAAGGTGTTCAATTGTTTTACGTGATAATTTCATCAAAACGGAAGACGACATAATTTACTTACTACCACACTTATGATATCTTTTATGTATAATGTGACATAAGATTAAGATCCAAACAAATGTCACAGTAGAATTCTCTCAGAGGGTCCAACAACTCCAATCTAGAGAGAGAGAGAGAGAGAGTCAGAGCTTCAGAAATCGACATCGTTTCATGATTGATTCAGCATTCCCAAGTCCCCCTTTCCTCCAATCAACTAATTTGCAGACTAAAATATATCGCAAACCATATGGGGGATTCTGAAACTGGACATATTTAATTTTATTGAATTAACCCAAGGGTATTTTAATATTTGATTAATTAGGAAAGTTGAATATTCCTTTATCTAATCGAACTAAACCCACTCAGTTCTCATGCAATGCTTATAGAAGAAGACAGTTCTTCAGTATTGTCCTCCTGCTGCATGCCTAGCTAGCTATATATCTTCTTTTCATAGATGGGGGATGTGAAATATTTCTCTGAAAAAGCATTAAGATATATAAGCCTATGAGGAAGAATGTGTGCAGAAGAGGGGGGTCGGTGACGGTGAGAGAACATGGGAGTTTTCAGGTTTGGGAGGTTTGGAAACTGTGCTCTACATATGTCTCACTACATTCATATAACTAGAACATGGGAACTTGAAGGAGGGTAGGGGCCACCTGCAACTTTTTCAGTTATTACGAACTAAATAATCGCGCGGGTAGGTCGAGTGTTAACATCAATCGTGCACTTGTTAATATTGATTTTGCTTGTTTCTAGTTCTTGTGTATAGATTAACGAAATTTAGGGTTTCTCATGTTACAAGTGAGCGACTTATTAACTAAATTTAAGATTTCTCATATTACAATGAGCAACGTATTCTAATATTTTTAATTTACGTGCTAGGTTTGATTTCGGCAATTTCTGATTTGTGTGTACATGCACTGACTTACTCTAACCTTTATAATTTACATAGTAAGGGTTAATTTTGACCGTATGAAAGATTGGAATTTAGGATTACTCGTGTGTGACTTACTCTAGCTAGCATTTCTAATCTCAATTCTTCATGTTAATTAGCATAAATTTTAACTGTTAGTTAATTTTTTTGTATTTACTGGAACAAAGGGGAAGAAGCAACAGAAGTGGAATGCATCATGCATGTGG